ATCCTACGTTTTTTTTTTTTTTTTTTTTTTTCTGGAAAAATTTATAATTTATAAATTTTTAAACTTTTAAAAAAAAATGTCATAAATTTCCAGCATTTTTTAGGTTGATATTGTTATTTCGGTAAAACTATATTTATTAATCAGCTTTTGGAAAGGCATATTGCAACTATGAAAATCCCAGTATTTTAAATGAATTTTGAATTTTCATCATCTGTTAAAACTTTTCCCAATTATTTAAATATGGACATTATTATATTATTAATAAAATATGAGCGAAAACTCACTTCCAAACAAAAAAATTTATTAAACATTTATTATTTTTTTTAATTCAACAAGCGTCTTTTACCTTAAGTCTATAAAGTTAATAGAGATAAAAGATGATTAGATTATTCAAATTGATCACTTCAAATATTTTCCTAGCTATTAATTGGAAGTTAAAAATTAAAAATAAAAAAATTCACATTGTATTTTTCAAATAATTTTAGAAAAAATTTCGGTAAACATGGGGGTCTATCGAGATACAGATAAAAGTTCATAAAAACCCCCTGATGTTTTTAAATTGGTCCCAAAAAGTTGTTTTATATATATATATAAATATATATATATATATTTTATTGAAAATTTGGCAAAAGTAAAAAAAATGTATGATTAAATTTTATTAATATAAAATATTAAAACTTTCCACAAAAAGAGCTCAAATTTTTATTAAGAGTTGCAAAGAAATTTTTACAAAAAATAAATTTGATAATTGATTCCATTTTTTTTCAATGACTCTAAGAGCTCTTTTGGGATTTTTTTTTCTTTTGTCAACACTTCGTTTGATTAAAAATTCTGTTTTCCTCCTTCTTTTTTGAACTTTTTTTTTTTTAGGAATTTTAATTTTTATTTTTAAAAAAAGAAAAAAATATTGATTCGAATGTTTTTATCAAGCATTTCAGTTTTTTAAGATTATTTTTCAAAACAAGGAAAAATTTTTTTCCATTTTTTGGGATATTAAATACTGAACAAAAACAGTAAGATGAAGAATAAAATAAAATAAAATGGAAAAAGAGGTTAACACGAAAACGAAGTAAAAATAATGCTTGAACGCAATCTTCAGGCCATGTGTGTTGGGTAATGGTATTGTTCTTAAGGTTATATTTTGAATTAGTCCAAAGGCTATTGAGTAGAAATAATTGTCCCAGAATGCGGTTGTTTGTATAGTGTTTGTTTTTTTTATTAACGTTAACTCATTATTTAATATTGATTACTGTATTTATTCATTAATTATTTGATTATCTTTATTATTATTATTATTATTGGGAATTATTAAATGAATTTGACTGAATAATTAAAAAGACGTTCGTACTTTTTTTTATTTGTTTAGCAAAATTTATTTCAAATTTATAAAAAAAAAAATAAATTGGAATTATTTGACCTTGCTTATCTATAAAGGAAAAGGTTATTTTATAAAATTTATTTTATAATAAAAAGGAAGATGTGGAACAAGGCTTAAAGTTTTTCACCCAGTGTTTTTAAAAAGAAAATAAAAATTAGTGAGGTTCTGTTCTAGCGAATTCAATTTTTCTTTATAACCTTCCAGGGTGATTAAAAATATGAAACTTTAAACCTTAGAAACAAAGTTTAACTGAAATTCAAGTGACCTGACGTTTGAATTAAATTCATATTTTCAACGCATGGTAACATTGAACATAGTGATTTATATTTCCTTATATCTATCTCTGTCATTTTGTTCTTTTAACCTTTCTATCATAAGTTATGTGAAAAAAGCGCTCAGCCTGATCATATATAAACAGATTACAAGGAGTGACAAGTTCGATTACCTCCCGGCAGCACTCCTTCCGTTTTTTTGAACAGTGAAGTTTATCCATTGTTTTCTGTTTAGGATGTGTTTACCATTTCCTTTATTCCATTGCCATATTGATTTAAATGTATTAAGGTTTTTTGTAAACATGTAAGTATATTTCCTCAATAATTTATCTTTGATTCTCGGCTCTGATTGTTAAATAAATATTCATCTCTCCGTCTTCTCTTTAATCGATGTTAGGTGTTATCATCGGACCTAAAAACTTTTTATAAATTCTCTTCAATTCTCTGTTGCCTCATCTGATTTCCAATTAGAATTGATTCTCTATATATGATATATATATATCCATATATAGTTTCATTTATATATACCTAAACTGGACCCTACAATCCATATGTGGAATTATTGGTATCCAAATCATCAGTCCTAAATAAATGTGTTTCAGAAAATATAATCCAGGTGTTAAAAAAAAAAAAAAAAATATAAAATATAAATGGGAGGGGGGTAAAAGTGTGAGAGGGAAATGTGTGAAAGCTCTAGAGTTTCTGTTAACAGAAGAAAGAAGAACAGGAAGGCCTAAAGTTGAAAGGGGATTAGAATTTAACAGAGAAGTTTTAAAGAAAGGAGTTAACTAACGGTTTAAATGAGTGAGATACAGATAAATATGAATTATTTTCAGATGGATAAATCACTACCGATTATATGTGTGTGTGCGCGTGCTCGTGTGTGTGTGCGCGTGTGTATATGGAGAGAGAGAGAGAGAGAGCGGAAATAGCATCAACACTGCATTTTCACGACACAATTAATTTGACACTATGCCCTGAAAACTGCTTGAGACATGAAACTGACGGGCACCAAGCCATGTTGATTCCTATGTCCACACTGTCTATATCAACAGACGCACTGACTTTTATATAGAACACTCTTTCGCCATAAACACGGCAACTTGCGAAACCTACTTTCTTAAAGAATTGTTTTAAGAATATGATATAATTTTCAACCGACGGTGGCACTGGCAGCTAAATCAATGAATGCCGAATGTTTCTTTATAAAGAAATGGCTAATATTATCTTCGCTACTCTCGATATCAATATATTATACGAAGCTAGTATTTCATGTACAAAAAAAAAAAGAAAAAAAAAGGAGACAAAAACTGTCGACTGGGTTATTTCTAGAAGATAACTATATTAAGGCAAGTTGTTTAAAAAAAAAAAAAAAAAAAAACTAAGATCACATACATTTTACATAGATGAAGCTCTTCGTAATGTGTGAGCTATACCTTTGAGTACAATCTTTTGTATTTCTTTAAGTCACGGGTTACCAGAAATCCCTTCGCTGTGTCTATCGGAATCTTTCCCAATCAATTTAAGGGCTCCAACTACAACTGGAATTATTGATGTCCTCATGTACCACATTTTTTAGATTTTTTTTATTCGGTATCATCCCATGAATGGCAGTAAAGTTACTAAAACGCAAGGGGTTATAGGCTGTGGAAGGATTAAGAAAAGAAATATTAATAATGAGCGAGAATAGAAAAGAATAATCAGAAGGACAGTAGATAGCGATTGACATTGCATTTAAATATTTGCAGATTAAAGTTGGCTGAAATTGAGTACAATTCTTTGTATTTCTTTAAGTCATGGACTATCAGGAATCTCTTCAATGAATCGATCGGAACCGTTTCCAATCAATCTGAGGGCTCCAACTACAAGAGGAATTATTGATGTCCTCATGTGCCACATTTTTGAGATTTCCATTTCAAGATCTCTGTATTTTGATAGTATTTTTTGAAGATCTTCAAAGATACATTATGTTATATCCCAGGCTCTTAGGATGAATAAAAACGAATGAAAGGAAAACACAAGAATATTTTAACACATAATAAAATAACTTTTATTCATTTACTGCCTGAGAACAGCAAGGATTAGTTTGGATTTAAACCATGAGTTTCACGTGCCTGTCAAGCTTGATCCCCATGTTGGATTCAGAAGTGACGCGCCGACTAGGGGGCCAAGGAAAGTAACTCAATTATATTTTGGGTTATTGGCATTTATAGGGGGAGTAAGTTAGCATCCCCCTAACACATTACTCCTTCTTCTCCTTCCTCTTCTTCTTCTTCTTCTTCTTCTTCTTATTATTATTATTATTATTATTATTTGTGTGTTATGTTTCCTGATTTGTATCCTGTAGAGCCGGTTCCAAACTATGGCCCTCAGGCCCTATAGAATTGTCGTTTTATTGATAGCACTTTTCTTAGTATACGGGACGTTCCTAGTAGAGCTATCTTTCTGGCCAACTTGTATGTTGATATTACCTGGAACACTATTAGTAAAATTGTCCATTCCTTTTCTCACGCGGTCCAGAGCACCGATTACTATTGATAGAGTCTCAGTCTTCATTCCTCCCATCCTGTTAATCTCGACATCCAGGTCCTTGTATTTGGACAATTTCTCGATAATTTTTACAGATGGTACTGCTATGTCAATAGGCATACACTTCCTGGATTTCTTATCTTCTTCTTCTTCTTCTTCTTCTTATTATTATTATTATTATTACTACTACTACTACTTTCTTCACCATTCCTGCGCATGTACCTCTGAATGAGGATCTCCTATAATATTACATGTTTAATTTTTATCCATTCATTCATATTTCCCCACGTACGTACGTTACTAGTTGTATTTCCCGAAGTTGAATCAATGAAGTAGATACATTTTATATCTATATATAAACGCAATGTGTGTATATATACCTTATTCGTTCGTACACGCCGCCTGTTTTAACAAGTGGAGAATACTCGAATATCTAATCTGCAAAGCCATCGACAAGATCCTGTTTTATTCAGAACAGTGTTTAACGTTTGATGATCGTCTCTAAAATAATGCTCCATGTTACTTACTTTGTTTCTAGTAGATGACTCGCTCATTGTATAGGTTCAATCCTTGTTCATTCTAATGTCTTATCTATTATGTGTTAAACAAGAAACGACATTCAGAGCATCATTTTTATTTATTTAAATAAGTTTCGATCCATGATTGCCTGTGTCCCGAACGAGCCCGAAACATAGAAAATGATGATGATGATTATGAGGAGGAGGATCTGCAATATATGTCTTGTTCTTTATTTTGTTTCTTGATTCGTTGTGCTGCCATATGTGAACAAAAAAAACGAGATAAAAATAATTGGAATGAACAGTGAAGGAGAAAAAAAAACAATCGGACATAATGAAAAGAAAGAAAAAAAGGAAGAAAGAAAGAAAGAATGAAAAAAGGAAGGAAAGAAGAAAGAAAGGAAGAAAAGGGGACGAAGATAGGTAAAATGTAGGGTAAAAGCAGAAAACGGAACGAAGCACAGAAGAAAGTGAAAATAAAACGAAGTAAAAGCGAAAGAAATAATATAGGGTAAAAGCAGAAAAAAAGAAAGAAAAAGAAATAACTGAAGAAAAAATGGAAAAAAGAAAAGGCAGTAATAAATGAGAATGAGAAAGAGAAAAGAATAATAACCGATAGACAGTAAGAGAGAATAAAGAAAAAAATGAAATCAGAAAGAGAGGAAGAAGAAGAAAGAAGGCGCAAAATTAAGGCAAAGAAAAAACATATAAAGAAGAAAGGAAAAGAAGTGAAAGAAGAGAACAAAAAAAGAAATAACGGATGAAAAAAGAAGAAAAAGCCTGAAGGAAAACAAACCTGAAAGAGAATAAGAAAACATAAAAAAAAGAATGGGCGATCAATAAATGAATAAATGAGAGGAAAGAAAAAATGAAGTACGGAAAATAATGAAGAAAGTGTATGCAGAATAGAAATGAAGAAAAAAAAGAAAGAAAAAGAAAGAATTATGAAAATGAAAATAAAGAAGCCTATAAAAAGTAAAAGGGAAAAAGAAGGAAGGAAATAAAAATAAGCAAGAGAGAAAAAGAAAAACAAAAAAATGGAAAATAAAAAAATAAAGAAACGAAGATACAAGACAAGCAAAAGAAAGAAAGAATAACAGAAACTGAACAAAAAACGAACGAAAAATAATGAAAAAAAGGAAGAGAGATAAATGAAAGATAGAAAAAACTGAAAGAGAAGAAAAGAATTATACGAAAAAGCAAATAAATGAAATAAAAATATAAATTCAGGAATGAAAGAAGGCTATAAAAGAAAATGGTAAATAAAAGAGAAAAAAGGATGTGAAAATAAAAGAATAATGCAGAAAATCTGAGAAGGAGAATGAAAAAAGAAACGAAGAACCATCAAAACAAACATTAAAAAGGAAACAAAACAAGAAAAAGAAACAAACAAACAAACAAAACATAATGAAAGAGAAGAAGGAAAGAAAGAAACATATTGAAAAAGAGGAAAGAAAGAAACAAACATATTGAAAGGGAAGAAACAAGGAAACAAAACATATTGAAAAAGAGGAAAGAAAGAAATGAAACATTGAAAGAGAGGAAAGAGAGAAATAAAACATATTGAAAGAGAGGAAAGAAAGGAACAAACATAGTGAAAAAGAGGAAAGAAAGAAACAAAACCTATTGAAAGAGAGGAAAGAAAGAAACAAACATATTGAAAGAGAGGAAAGAAAGAAAGAAAACATATTGAAAAAGAGAAAGAAGGAAACAAAACATATTGAAAAAGAGGAAAGAAAGAAACAAAACCTATTGAAAGAGAGGAAAGAAAGAAACAAACATATTGAAAGAGAGGAAAGAAAGAAAGAAAACATATTGAAAAAGAGAAAGAAGGAAACAAAACATATTGAAAAAGAGGAAGGAAAGAAACAAAACATATTGAAAGAGAGGAAAGAAAGAAACAAAATATATTGAAAGAAAACATATTGAAAAAGAGGAAGGAAAGAAACAAAACATATTGAAAGAGAGGAAAGAAAGAAACAAACATATTGTAAGAGAGGAAAGAATGAAACAAATCTATTGAAAGAGAAGAAAGAAAGAAACAAAACATATTGAAAAAGAGGAAAGAAAGAAACAAAACCTATTGAAAGAGAGGAAAGAAAGAAACAAACATATTGAAAGAGAGGAAAGAAAGAAAGAAAACATATTGAAAAAGAGAAAGAAGGAAACAAAACATATTGAAAGAGAGGAAAGAAAGAAACAAAACCTATGGAAAAAGAGGACAGAAAGAAACAAAACATTTTGAAAAAAAGGAAAGAAAGAAACAAAACATAATGAAAGAGTGGAAAGAAAGACACAAAACATATTGAAAAAAAAGTAAGGAGAGAAACAAAACATATTGAAAGAGAGGAAAGAAAGAAAGAAACTTATAGAAAGAGAGGAAAGAAAGTAACAAAACATATTGAAAACGAGGAAAGAAACAAACATATTGAAAGAGAGGAATGAATGAAACAAAATATTGAAGGAGAGGAAAGAAAAAAACAAAACATATTGAAAGAGAGGAAAGAAAGAAACAAAACATTGAAGGAGAGGAAAGAAAGAAACAAATCATTGAAGGAGAGGAAAGAAAGAAACAAAACATATTGAAAAAGAGGAAAGAAAGAAACAAAACATATTGAAAGAGAGGAAAGAAAGAAACAAACATATTGTAAGAGAGGAAAGAATGAAACAAATCTATTGAAAGAGAAGAAAGAAAGAAACAAATCTATTGAAAGAGAGGAAAGAAAGAAACAAGCATATTGAAAGAGAGGAAAGAAAGAAACAAGCATATTGAAAGAGAGGAAAGAAAGAAACAAAAGATATTGAAAGAGAGGAAAGGAAGAAACAAGCATATTGAAAGAGAGGAAAGAAAGAAACAAAACATATTGAAAGAGAGGAAAGAATGAAACAAAACATATTGAAAGAGAGGAAAGAAAGAAACAAAACATTGAAAAAGAGGAAAAAAAAGGAACAAAACATATTGAGGAAAGAAAGAAACAAAAGGAAAAGGAAAAATGAAACAAATCTATTGAAAGAGAAGAAAGAAAGAAACAAATCTATTGAAAGAGAGGAAAGAAAGAAACAAAACATATTGAAAGAGAGGAAAGAAAGAAACAAACATATTGAAAGAGAGGGAAGAATGAAACAAAACATTGAAGGAGAGGAAAAAAAGGAACAAAACATATTGAAATAGAGGAAAAAAATCTAGTAAAAGAAAGAAAAAGAAAAGTATAGTATTACGGAAAAGAAGTAAGAGAAGACGAAAGAAACGGGAGCTAAACCGTTTTTAAAATGATAAATGATTTTATTTTTCGAACTTAACCTAAGAAAGAAAGAAATAAGAAACCTGAAGGAAAACTGAGAAGCTTTTGAGACTTCCACCCCCCAACCAGTCGCTCTGTTCAATTCTTGTTAGCGAGTGAAGTCCAAGTAGCATTCCCCACCCTATACTCTCTGCCGCCTACCCGACTATTAGCACTTGTTTCCTTCTTTGCCTACCCTAACAGTTCTCCTTAATGTTATACATTCATACACACCAGTAGCAGACGGCCCTTTGATGTCTACCTGTGGATCAGTTACCTGCGAATATCTAGTCACCAGTCCTGACTGCAAAGAGTACCACGTAGCAAGTCGCGACGTTAAAGCAACGCACCCAATTGGGTGGTTACAAGTTTGCTTGTCGTCCAACCCCCTTCAACTATTGATTTTTTTCCTCCTCCTCCTTCCTCCTCCTCTTCTTCTTCTTTCCTCCTTCTTCTTCTCCTTCTCCCCCTGATTTTTAACGTCGTCTTCATCCCTTCTAATCGTTTTTAAACTCCTCCCATTCTTACAATTCCTTCCTTCACCACCCCCATTTCATTTTTGCATTCCCTTTACGTTTCTATTTCTCTTCTTTTCCTTTTCTCAAAATTGATCACTTCTTTCTTTTCTTCTTTCTATTGTTTACTTTTTCTCTTTTTCTTCTCGAGTTTCTTTTTCACTCTCTTTTCTTGTCCTATTTTATTTTCTTCTCAATTTGTTTAAATTTTCTTCTTCTTCTTCTTCTTCTTCTTCTTCTTCTACCAAAACTTTCTGTCTATTCTCTTTTTCTTTTCTTGCCAATTCTTTCTTTCTTTCTTGCCAATTGTCAGCACTAAAAGATCAAACACCAAATTCTAAATATCTTTACAGCTGTGAACTTTAAACTTTAAATAATTACTGGGAAATTAATGTATTTTTCAAGAAAAAAAAATGAATCCCAAAAGGAAAAAAAATGTAGCTACCTGATGCAAGGAATACACTCAAATCAAATTATTTCTTCAGCTAGTAGATATGTCGGTTACCCTACCGGGTCCTTCATGCTAATCCGTTATCCAAATCTGCAGGTGTAGGGCATGTAGATATCACACCTGAAAATCATCAAACCTCAAAGGTAAAAAAAAAAAAAATCTGCTACAATATAAAAATTAAAATTTACTGTTGTCATAAGTTGTCAAATAAGAGTCATTATTGCGTAAATAATTCGATCGGGTATCTTGATCGCTGTTGTTTTAATTATTAGATTTCATCCAAAGCGTTTTACAGCCTTGAAGTGCTGAGATTAAACATTCTTCTTCTACGTCTTCTTTTATATGCCATCTCCCTTCAGGACGTGAGCAATCATGTCTCTCCACAAGTTACTATCTTTTGTAGCACCTATTAAGGTTTGTTTTTCACCATTATAGCTATCCTGGGACTGGTGCATATTCTGCACCGGTCACGTGATAACGGCCATATTTTGGAGGGAGAAACAAAACAAGAGTTATTGTACACTTGCTGAGAAAGAAGGTGTAGCAGAACTTATATCAATTTGCTGTCTCACTTTAGAAAAGAATCTTGGCGGGATTTGTATCTACTCACGAATTCTGGCTAGCGGGCTCACAAGGTAGGTTACAACATATCGGTCGCCTTTGAATTTCCATGTTATTATGGACAATTTTTTTTGTATTAGTATATGCACCATGAAGCCTTTTCTTTTTCATTCATTATTTCATGATGTTTGTAGAGACGGAAATAAATTCACTTTTCCAGCATCAGTCGATTCTGAGTGTTGTCCTAACCAGAAGAAAAACCTCGGAAGCTGTAACAACCATCCCGCCCGAGACCTGTACTTGTATCCATTTAAACAAGCATCTTAAGAAGGTCACTCGATGTTTTTTTACTGTCCCTCTGTCTTAAATTCTCCAAACCCTCTTTTCTCATTAAGTGCACTAGAAATTTCAACTATTTCTTTCTGGTTCTAAGTATAAGCGGCGTTTTTATTCCATTATTCTTAAAACTTCTCTCATCTTTAGTCCATGGTATTCTCAGCATCCTTCTAGAAAACCACATTTCCGTTGCTTCAAGTTACTTCTTCATCAGTAAAGACATCATCCAGCATTCACTGCCATAGAGGAGGGCTGATATTGCATAACATTTCAGTATTCTTTTCTTTGTTTATAACGAATTTATGTTTCTTAATACTTTGCTTAGCTTTTGAAAGGCATCTTTCGCTATCTCAACGCGCCTTCTGATTCTAATGTCATATTTTCCGTCTTCTGTTTAATTGATATTGAAATCTTCCTACTTGGTTTATTTTGGCATCCCTGATTCGTAGTTCGCATCTTGGGATATTCTTCTTTTCTTACTTCACTAAGTATTCGGCAGTGAATGCTGTACAATTTTCCCACTGATGAAGACGAGACTCGAAGCAACGCAGATGTGGTTCTAAAGAATACTGCAGGGAATACCACAGATGGAGCATATGAGCAACGAAGAAATTTTAAGGAAAATGGAAACAAAAAATACACTTAGAATACTTAGAATCAAAAAGAAACAGCTGAAAATTCTAGGATACATAACAAGAAAAGAGAGTTTGGAGAATTAGACACTCACATGACATACTGGTTGCAGGAGGAACATAGATAAACAATGTGTAATTTACCTAACAACTTTGTATAAATGGATGACAGATCAAAGAGTGAAAAGGATGGAACAAAGCAAACATTTGTTTAACGGTAAACCAATTCACTATTTATATTATTTGGACTGAAGAAATCCGAAACGTTGTAATAAATATGGTGACAAAGATGAGGACAATAGTCCGAATAATGTAAATAGTGTACATAATACCTCATCGCAGAAATATTGACAGAGGCATATCAATTCTTTATGGGTCATTTAATGCCGACATTTAATTTTCTTGGGAGATTTGAAGTATTATAAATATGATATGTTATTCTGCTTTCACAGTTGAATACATGGTAAATGATACTCAGCTTTTGTGCGCATACATGTTTGTGTAGACATAATTACTAGAGGCGGTAATATGGATGTTTTATATTGTTAAAGTTGTATTTTGGAATACCGTTTGATTTCTTTAAGAAATTGTAAGATATATGGATTAATATAAAATAATTCTTTCATGTTGATTGTTTGGTTGATTTTGTTAGTGGCATATCACCCCCTATGGGTTATTTAATGCCAAAATCTAAATATTTTTTAACGCAATTGTATGCCTTCAACTACAGGTAAAATGCGCTGTTGGTCATTTTGCTATAAATATGTATTGTTGATAATTTTACCATAAAAATCTATAATTTATTCTATTATGTTTTTGGTTTGGAGGTTCACTATTTGCCCATAGCAAGGGACCCTAATATGTGCTACCAGCCGGGTTAGAATGGACCTTAGAACAACAGCAATGAAGAGATGGTTCTACTCTCCTCTTCCAATCTCCCGATCTTTCTGCCGGATGTATTTTATCGTCATAATCAAGACTAAAAAGCAAACATTGCTTAGAATTTATGGGAATTTAAGAAGACCTATGATCAGCCACGTTCTTAAGAACACTCCACAGTTAAGAATTTTTCCGCCGAAATTTGTAGTTAACAAGTTACACATGTAAACTGTTCCCCATGAATTACGTATTATAAATATATTTAATAGTTACACTATTAATATTACATAATTATTAATTACAGACTATTACATTAATCTTATTTAATAAATGATTACGCTATTAGTCTTCTATATAAATAAAGCGCAGTGTACATATCTGTCCGTCCGTTTTTCGATCTCTGCGAATCGTAAACAACCTCCACTAATTCGCTGAAAAAAGCATAGCATAATGAAAAAAGGCCTCAGACTTAATAAAAACAAAGTTTTATTGTCAAAATGTTTGTTATCATTGAAAGGAAAGACCAAAATAATTTTTGATTATTTTTCTAAAATCTTTTAATCCTTCCTAACACATTCGAAATTATGGTTCAAATTCTTTTTTTTTTCTTCATGCATCAACAATATAACAGAACTACTAATGGAAATTTTCACGCCTATTTTCCAGTAAAATAACACATTAATTTGGAAAGTTTTGCAAAAATCAAATAATTGTCGGAATTTAATGAAATTTTCAGGACTTATTTACAATTGAATGAATTTATTTATGAAATTATTTCTAGAATATCTTAGTAATACTATATTTTTACATCTGTTACCCCTCCCCCATTTACTTAATTTAATGAAATTTCGAGAAATTAAATTCCGTATTCCAAATGTTTTTATTAGTTAAAAGCAGGACTCCTTGTAAATCATCATTTTTTTTTAAACTACTTCTGCTTTCCCTAAAATCTGCTCCGAATCGTAAAATAAAAACTGCAATAAAACTATCTAATTATTTAATTAGTTGAGCTTTTAATTGATTTTTTAAATAATATATTAAGGACATTATAGTCTGAGGAAAAATTCGATGAATAATGAATTTTTACAAGAAATGTTTCCTTTTTCTAAATATGATAATTTATAATTTTCAAAAATGTTTTACAAATTCCTCCACGTGAAGACTATATTTACTAAGCGAAAATTGAAAAGCTTAATACAAATCATAACGCTGTTATATTTTTTAAAAAATTTAATTTTTTTGTGCGTGCCGATTTTGAAAGTATGGCTGACC